AGGTCTGTCCTTAAGTCGAATTTGTATGTAAGCTGGAACAGTATTATTGTATAATACCATACAAGTAGTATTGTGTAATTAACTCGAACCTTTGTGTATTTAACTCAAATAATTGTGTATTTAATTCAAATTTTGCTACAATAGGCTCTGTTCTTAACTATGGGTCATCTGTAACCCAGGCATTCTTAACCCAGGGACTACCTGTATACCTGATGGTTTCACAAAATGCCTGACTTCCTGACAATTATTATTAATAAATACTGTAACATGTTTATGATTGCCCAATAAAATTGATTGATATTAATAAATACCTGTGTTGATAATTGTGCTGTGTCTGATGATAAGTTTATCTGGCTGGCCAGATTCTTTTCTAAAGAATCTACTTTTTCATAAGTTCTTTTCTGCCTCACCACATCTTGCTGTATTGCTGGATCATTTGAGAGACTCCCTTTACCATCCACTGTAGGCCTATATAATGACCTGTTACTAGACGTCAGATTATCTCTTGAGTTCCTGCTATTACACTTTTTAAAATGGTCTGATTGAAACTTAATTTTATTACCCTCTGGCATACTACCATTCTCCAGCATTTCTGCATCTAAGCTACCTTTGCTCCCTCTGCAGACTGCAGATCTATTCACTACTAAACGCATCTCTGCAATAAGCTTGTCATTCAGAGCAGTGAGTTCACTGTTGCTGCCTACAGAACCAGGTCTTCCTTGGCCTGGAGCATGTCGTCTTCCTTTTCTCTTTCTTAAGCTTGGAGAAGGACCTGTTGAATAGCCAGAATCTTGCTGACTTATCACTGTAGGGTATTCCTGAGCCTGAAGATTGTTCTGCCGGCTATTGTGGGCTTCCATATTTTTAAGAACATTAGCTTCTAAGACTCTCCATGACTGCTTGAAGCTCTCCCTAGAGCTAAGCTGACCCATTTGGGATTTATCAATGCCATCAACTATCACAGTGGTAGAATTAGTTTTTTTGGATGACTGGTCAATGTTGACCATATGTTTAATATATTCTTTTCCCACAGGGCTGTATTCTGTTGTAGAAGGGTTTCTCAAATGCTTTTTTCCAGCCTGGTGTTGCTGTATACTTGGATGCTGTAATAATTTAATTGGTTGCAACTTCTTATTTAAGCTACTGCTTGGGGACAACTGTGGAGTTGTCCCATTCATATTTGTAATTCCAATGTCCATATCTATAGGAGGTTCATCATAAATTGGGGCGTCAATTGATGGTTCATCATATATTGGAGCTGGAGAAGCATACTTGGGAGAATCAGGCAACGTTGTTTGTGACTGATTTTCTGAGGGAGGCTGAGGAGTATGTCCATTAGTTAGTACCAGACAAAACCCTCCATTCTCTGTCTTTTTAATTTTCATTGAACGCTTCGTCTCTACTGGAGCTGTAGATTTTGGAGTTAATGAGTTTGGGACTATAGACTGAGACTGGGCATAAACAACTGCTTTGGGATGCATAGATTTCTGGCTGCTGATTTCTGAATTGTTCTGCATCTGAAAGGAATTGCTTGAGGAAGAATTTACTTGTCTAAGGCTATTAACTTTGACCAGCATGGCTGCTTTAGTCCCTGGTAAAGGCTGCCACCCAGTAAGAGTATCTCTGCAAAAAAACAAAACAAAACACAGTGTTAAAAATAAAGCAATAATACATGCCACTTTTGTCAAATGCGGAATAAACCCTGAAAAGAGGAATAAAATATATTAAATTAATCTAATTAATTTTGTTGTGGAAGCAAGCTTTACCAGATTTTGCATTCATTCATTCATTCATTCATTCATTCCACAAAACTGATAGCCTGGTCTCCTCATAGTGGATCCTGGACAGGATACAAGATGAGAACATACAAAATAAAAAATAACATAAAAAATTTATTTATTTATTTATTTATTTATAGTCAACAATAAGTATCAGGAGCACCCATAAAAGTAAAGAAACTAAACACAGGTAGTCCTTGACTTACACCCATTTGTTTAGCAACCATTTGAAGTTAAGATGGTGTTGAAAAAGTGACTTATGACTGGTCCTCACGCTTACGAAGATCGCAGCATCCCCACAGTTGTGTGATCAAAATTCGGACACTTGGCAACTGGTATGTGTTTATGACAGTTGCAGCATCCTGGGGTCACATGACTGCCATCTGTGACCTTCCCAGCTGGCTTCCGATAAGCAAAGTCAATGGGGAAACTGCATGTTTCACTTAATGACCACACGATTCACTTAACGATCAGAGTGATTTGCTTAATGACAGCCGCAAAAAATGTTGTAAAATCGGGTGTGGTCACGTGATGCTTAATAACTGTACTGCTTAATGATGAATTTTCTGGTCCCTATTGTAGTTGTAAATCGAGGACTACTTGAAAATTGCTGAATGCTCTCTGTAATAAGATTGCTTTGGTCTGCCTACAATATGCCCAAAAGTTTGAGGCTATCTGCAATTTGGGAGGAAGGCAGGAAATTTCACAAATTACATTGTAAAAACATTTTCTACTTTCTTCACAGCTATCACAGTATTTGGAAAATAATATCCATTCAGAATTTTTTAAAATGGCTAGATTTTTCCACCTGCATATTTCTTTTCCAGGGAAATCAATGGTGTAATTCTAAAAGGAAAAAAAAACAACAACTGCTTATCTGCTTGTAAGCTCGATTTTCTAGCAATTTTCTGCCACATATTCTTCTAACAAGAAAAATGGAGGTCAATACATGATTGTTCCCTATGCACACAGCTAATGAAATCAAATTAGCCTCATTTTGAGAAATATATATTCTGACAGCAAATTGATTGCAAAAGCAAATACCTAAACACTCTAAATAGTGGCATAATCAAAATGATGAATCTCTCTGCCCATTTTCATCTTGTGAAAACTTCCTCACTTGCTCTATTTTCTCCTTGTGAAAAATCAAATCACCACACCCGGTTATTTATCCAGCTAAAAATACCTGATAAAAAGTAGGAATAAATAAGAGTTTCAGGAGTCTGAGTGCAAAACCTTAGTATTGTATATCAGCTTTTCTATCATGACTAAAATGAATGAAATATATTTAAATGTGACTTAAATACTGCACTTCACATTGATCACCATATTATCAAGTATTAACTCTATCAGGGTTTTTCAAACTGTGTTCCATGGAACCCTAGGGTTCTGTGAGAGAGACTAAGGGCAAAAAAAAAAAAAAAAAAGTTCATTCCACAGGAGCATCCACAGCAATTCTTCTAGGGTACAGTGCAAAGGGTGGGGCTTATCAGCTGACATTCAGAAACCCCAGCCCCGGAAGGCATTTGTGCTCATGGGGCCTCATTGCTTTGCCTGTTTCACATTGATTAATAAATCTTATGCTTTAACTCAAAATGCAGTCAAAGATGGAAACAGAAACAAAACTAAGTCAAAGTGGCCTAAGCAAGAATAAAAGAGAAATGTGTTTAGTTCACATTTAAACATTTAATTTCACATATTTAGACCAATATACAAACAGAAACTAATTTTCTTTCTCTCTCATCCATTATGTCCCTTTTCATTTTTTTCTTTTTCCTTTTACATAGACATTTATTTTGTTCCTAAAATATTTTAAAATAAAATTTAAATGTTAAAAAAAATAATGCTAGAAAAAAGGGGTTAGAATCTTGGAAACAGAATAAAATCCTAGTTCTCAGTTATTGGTGAATACATTAAGACAGTGTCTCTGTAAATTGTTTGAACTTCTTTCTCTCAGATTCCTTAACTGAAGGACTAATGCCTCTTCTAAGTAATCAACTGAAACATGCATCTACCCGTCATTTGTTACGTTTGGAAAGTCTACTTTTTTTTCAAATTCTTTCTTATAGCACTGTTGCTGAGCTTCAGGGTGGGGACAGGGAGAGAAGACAGAAGTGAACTTGTGATTGAAACACCTATAAGTGAACTTCATTTTTCATTTCCGATACCAAAAGCAATTGTCATAACAGCTGGCAGCACCCAACAGATGGCTATGTCAAAAAGCCAAGCACAGGCAGACCAGGTTAGTACTTGGATTGGAGATTACTCAGGGAAATCTGTTTGCTCAGAAGAATACAATGGCAGACTTCCGGGGAAGAAATGGGAAACTGAAGATGACTCTGCTGAAAGTGGAGCTGATGACTGTGGCAGAATGAAGAGCTGGCGAGTAGACCAGCTCTTCATAATTCCTCTTCGGACAAATGCTCCATATAATTGCTCCTTGTGAGTAGACCGCAAGGCAGCTGTCTCTGGTGGGTTCAGAGCTCTGGGAGATGAGGGAAAGCTATCTTTTCACTCAAACCACGGTCGACGCCTTTCAAAAGGACACTGGGTTTGCGTACTTCCTTTTCTAATCACTTCTGGAAATTGCTAGTTAACTGCTTTTCAGCTATTAGGAACCTTTGGATCAACATGTTTTACAGCACCAGGTGAGTTTCCTTCAATCCTTAGCAAAAGAAGTTTTAAATACAAGTTTAAGGCTGGGTTTGCGTACTTCCTTTTCTAATCACTTCTGGAAATTGCTAGTTAACTGCTTTTCAGCTATTAGGAACCTTTGGATCAACATGTTTTACAGCACCAGGTGAGTTTCCTTCAATCCTTAGCAAAAGAAGTTTTAAATACAAGTTTAAGGACTTAAATTTTTTTTTCTTTTGGAATAAACAGCAAATGGGTGATTAGAACTTTGATTTTGGAGAGTTACAAACAGAGTAAGGGTCCAGATGGATTTGAAATAAGATTTTGGAATTAATTATAAGAATCCTTCCCACGGACAAATGCTTTTGTTTCGAAGTCTCTTAAAAAAACACATGATAGGATGTGACTTTGAAGGTTGAACACTAGAGGGAAACTGAAGGAACTAAATATTATAATTAAAGGAGAAAAACACTTAAATTTGACTTACTAATACAGAATGTAGCAAAATATCTTAACATTGGATGTATTGACGAATATTTTTGAATAATGGACCCATTGTTAAGAATCTCTGCCTCTATACATAGACTGTATTTAAAAGATGTTATGGAAGAGGAACAAGTTTTACCGGACAGACTGAGACTGATCTGAAAATGGATTTAAAAATGACAGGCTACAAAAATGATATGGAAAAAGATGCTACACTGGATATACAAATGAAACCAGCCAATGTCTTAATAATTAAAAGGGATATACAAATAAAAAACCAAAAGAGTGACCGAGATAACTTTCCAATATTGGATTTACAAAAGAGACTTGTTAAAACTTTGAAGAATTTTGTGAGAAGGAACAAAGAAAAAATGAAAAGAAGTCAAGTTCTAGGACATTATTTGAAGGAACTAAAGATCAAGATTGTTAAAAATAAAAGGAAAGAATATAAAATTGGTTTATTTGATCAAGGTTAAAATAGATATGTTGTTCTCTCTGGTAACGCTTAATGGAGTTTTGCTGATCAGGACTGAACAACTAGGCTTTAAGGATTTGTTTAGCAAGGGGATGGGGAAGAAGAGATCATCTGTTGTGCTTTAAGAGAAGGTAATAAGTTACTAAAATTGTTTATACTCATTGTGATGAAGGAGGAAGTAATTTCTTTATATATTTCTTTTTTCTTTACTATATTCTTATTTTTTCTTTTCTATTTTTCTTTTCTGCACTATTTTTTAGTTTGTATTAGTTTTTATCTTTTTAATTGTAATTTTTAATAACATTTCTATTAAAAAAAAAGGCAATGGCAAATTATGTCTGTACCATTACCAAAGACCAACCTGGATCTATTCATATAGAGATCAGGAGCTGAATTCTGATTTAGGCTTTACATTTACATTATTAAAAAGAATATACAAGTTGAGCAAATACTCAAGGATAATTTATTCAGAATGGTATATTTTCCTGCCTTCTTCTGTTCTTATTTTGACCAGGGTCTTGTTGGCAAGGTTGTAGTGAAAAACAATGTCCATCCAGTAAATCTAGATTGCCCATCCTTCCAGAACAGTTATGTCCATCCTTCCAGAACTGAAACAGTTATTTCCAGAACAGAAATAACTTTCTTACGCTGAAGTAACAGAAAGAAGGTGAGGATTATGAGAAATTCAATACATGGCCTTTACATTCCAATTCTGATCTTCAGAAAAATTAATCATGTTGAACATTGTTACAGTCTGAGAGACCACTTTTAAGAATTACTCAGTACAAGATTATTTCAATAGGCTGCAACCAGTCAAGCAGAACCTCCTGACATATCCAGTCTGTGTAGTTCAGGAGCTTTTACCCCTTCCAAAAAAGGATCTCTTCCTTTAGCCCTGCTCAGATCCAAAGCATTTTGGATCTGAAAGAAAGCAAAGAAAGTGCTTTGAATCTTCCTGGCCAAAGCTAGCAATTCAGAACACATCTTGTAATAATTCTGAAACATAATGGGCAGCTGTGCAATCATGTGGAAAATGTATTAATGACAAATTCCATTTTTAAGCCACTGAAGACAAATCTTAAGCTATAAAAAGTATATTTGGGGGGAAAAAAAATAGAAATAAGGGAAGTTAACAATTACACACAGAAAAATTCAAATAAAATCCATCCAGTTACCTGAATTTACCTGAATTACCTATTGTATATACGTAAGATCAAGGATTTTAGAATCTGGAAAGATGTAATCTTGAT